TATTTCAGATCAAGGTAATGAGATAACAACCTTGGAACTCCATCTGCCTTACTATCTGTTATTAAAAACCCCTGGCAGATAGGATCCATATCCAATGAGGTAGAGGAGGGCAGCCAGCAGAGGGAAAAGCAGGATGATTGTGTGGATACAGCAGAGAAGATTGAGATGTCCTGGTGTTGAATGCTCAGCAGCAGAATCAGTAGTGAAGGAGGAAAATGCCTACATAAGGAGTAGGAAGCAAAACCTGTAGTGGGGGAGGATAAAATGTAGTAATGCAACTTCAAGAAGCAAGGTGCAGGCACTGCATGCACAATGAGATCAGGAGGTGAGTAGAGACACATTATACTAGGGAATGTAAAGAATGTGACAGGGAAATTTGAGACTGCTACATCACAGTAGGAAGCATGGTGCATAAAGGTAGTGTTATGTGGTCAGCAACATTGGGGGTTATAATATATAAACGCTGTCATAGCCACAGTGTCTGGACTTTTAAAAAAAAAAAATCAGATTCCTGAACTCTTGACTGACTTGATATAAATGTTTAATTGACATTTATCATCTATAAAATTCCTGGTTTTGAAATAAATCTGCCCATCCATTAATAATCGTATAGGACCTGATCCATTGTGGTGAGTGGGGATGATTTCAGTGGGCTGGATGAGGCTTTTATATTTTATTTTTTGCTTTCAAATGATCAACATAGCAGAATAGACGGAACAGTAACACAGGACGTTCACCTGTACTGGTAACCGCAGCAAACAGTTGTTAATGTCCATGAGCCAGACCCTTACTCAGAGTCCCTATTTTTATTTTTATAAAGTTAAACAAAGATGGGATTGAGTCCAGTTCTAGATTATGGCATAGTACACTCTCCTTCATGAGAATACCAACCTCTCCCCCATCCTGGAAGCAATATAGTACTCTAGACCTACATGGTCAAACTGAGCTGTGCCCCCTGAGATTCAGCCAACCAGCCAATACACACAAGCCTGAACTCAAAGCATTTCTTTGTAATCATGCAAAGAGACATGTTATAGTCAGTTTAAGGTGCTCAGCAATTCGCAGAAGGAGCTTAGCATCTTGTGAATACAAGCCCTTGCAAACTACTAGGCCTATTCTGTACTAATCTTCACCATTTTTATTTTAACCCCAGCTACATAAAGGAGTGATCTCCAATAATTCATAAATATAGGTCATCAGTGTTCTCCATGTCAGTAATTGACAGCTTATATCGACTTCTGGTAAGATTTACTGTTAAAGACACTTTTGAAAAATAGCATTTAAATACTTTAGAAAATAATAACCCAAGTCTTAAACACATGCTGCCACAGATTTATATGATAACATTAAGCACATTTAAATATAGCTTTGCCATTTAATTTCCATTTCTTTTTACTAAAATAAATAAAAAAGAAAGACTGAACTATAACAATGAAACAGGCTGTCCAATTCTGTTTACCATCTACATGCTAACATGATATTCCTCTTCTTTCACTTAGTGGATGGGTGAATGGGACTGGTCTTATAACTAATTAAAGACATCGTCAAAAGTGGATGAGGAAAGTGCTTCTGCTGCATAGCAATTATCCCCATCTTTGAAATTTTGCAGTGGTTTTAGAACCACTCAGTGAGGTTGCTCTTACTGCTTCATGTGTCCATTAGTGCTGTGTGATATCAAATTAGGATCATTTTTCACAATTAAATGATTGAAGCTTTATGCCATTATAATATCAGTGATGTTACCAGCATAAAAGTCAGGGCCTTACCCTTTTGAAAATACTTCTTCCTACCAGTTAATGGGTGAATATAGAACAGGAGAAAATAACAAGAAAGCCAGAAGGGGAGATGGAAGTTGGTAAAATAAAAAAATAAAGAGTATCTTTAACTGCATATTAGTCTCCCTGGCCCAGATTCATACTTCTGTAAATCAGAGCACAAATTTACTCTTAGTACTGCATGTGAAAAGCTGGATATAGAAAGATTATACCACTCCCAATGTTTAATAATAGGTCAGATCAGATCCTCAATTGAGGTATGTTGTCTTCAACAGAACTACAAACTTATGCTATCAGATGATCTGACCCAAAATGTGTAACTTAACATTCTCTAACCATGTTTTAAAATCGTATTGGCATTTGGCAATATAATGCACAGTATGCAGGACTGAACTTGGTGAAAAAATTAATTCCAGACAAGTTAGCCATTTTATTTTTCTATACTACCCTTCTTTAGTAGGCCATAAATCATACTGACCTAGATTCTGTCACCTTAAAATCAACAGAGCTACTTAACAAATATGTTTCTACTCAGTGTGGGAAAGGTTGGTAGCATTTGGGTCTTTGACAGGTGTGATTAGTGATATCTAAGTCTTGAAGGGGATATTTTTCAAAGACACAAATTATCACTGACTAAAAGTCAATGCGATTTGGATACTTACGTCCCTTTTGTGCCAAATTAAAAAAAACAGTCCTTATTCATCATGAATTTTGATGAAGAACTAAAATACATAATAATTTTAATCTGGTTTTTATATAATTTTTTGCAAGCCTCTGAAATGCCACTTATTTTAGAATGTATTTTTAAAACTTTCAGCTCATGTTTTAATCTGAGTTTTTCCTCCCAACTTTAATATCAACCTATGATATGACATGCCACTCATTTAAAGATGAACACAAATACAATTTTTAAAACATAAAAAACATTTTAAAATTCCACCCAAAGTCACTACATTATTTAATCATTTGCCTTAGAAAGGGCTTCAAATCAAGATTGTGCTATTTACATAAAAACTAAAGGGACAAATTCTGTCTCATCCATACACACAAAACTCCCATTGAAGCCACAGTCATTGGATGGGAGTGTCTAAAGGAAGGCTGCCATTACCAGCTGTAGATATAGAACAAGTAGGACAGAAGAACACTAAAATATGGCCTTTCACACAGAACTCAGTGACTGTACTGCAATGAAGAAAAAGAAACACTTCCTCTATCCTTCTCTTTGCAACCAGCTACATAATACTGAAGGTTGGTTAACTTGCAATGGTAATTTTCCAGTTAGAAAGTAAAGCATGAAATCGGTTCAAATGAGACGCTGAGCCAAACCATTAGTGATGTTGGACAATAGCTGTCCAAACCATATCACTCTGTCAATTATTTCACACTTACAGCAGAAGCAGAGATTACATTAAGAGGCAGCTTGCTAACATATCAAACTGCCACCCACTAATTTCAATTCTCTCAGCCATAATAGCCTCTGAATCACCTTGTAACCTGTACAGCCTGCTAGCCTGCTGCCAGGAAGCCTGACAATAAAATGCAAATTTAAATATTGAAGAAGATCAAACTATACATATTTTTTCTGTGGTAGTACCAGGGTATTCCATGTGAACTTAATGGGGTTGAATTTGCAAAGCATATAAACTATTTTATTTGTTGATAGAGATCAGTATAGAGTTTATAGAAATGAATTGAATATAGACCATATGGACTGGACCTAACATTGGAGTGCTTAATTATTATTTATTTTAATATCTAAATATATTTCCTCATAAGTACTCTGAGAAATATAAGTGCACAAACGTAATTCAAGCCTGACTAAAATCCTTTTTTTCTTTTATAGTAACTATTTTAATAGTTTCATTCATTCCTGACATAGCCTCACTAAACTAACTAATCTTTCTATTGTTTTACAGTTATTGAAATTTTAAATCTTACATTTATCAATTATATTTTTAGAAGTGTTGGTTTATGTTACATGAAATGAGGTCCATTAGAGGAATCTGGCAATACCTTAAACAAGCTCAGGTTTTGTACTGTATCACATTACCAAAACCCAATGGTGCTATCATTTTCTGATACCTAAGAGTAGCCCATCAGTTATGTGCCGTTTCAGGTTCTCTGACTACCTCACTAGTATACACGGTATATTTATACGCACCTGCACGTAAATATATATCTCTATGTGGTCACTAAAAATGTGATAATCAATGTTTTGAGAGGGAAGGTAAATTAAAAGTTCTCATAATCAATTATTATTTCAACTATTTTCAATATAAACTGCTCCAGTTGCATGCAGGGTGGGCATTAATACAATACACTGGAGATTTTAAATTGAGTTCCAGTAACTTCCATGTAATCCCACAGCAGTTTATGACTTTGATGCAATGGAATATGTTTTATATGAAAACTAAGCTTGGTTGGATTGTCTTGATCAAATAACATAACTAGAAGAGACGGTTCCAAGCAATAATTTATTACCTCGATGGAATCCTTGTAAACACTTCTTAAATAAGAGAGATTTAAATAAAGCCCCGATTTTATTTTCCAGGACCAGCAGGCCATTCCATGTGATATTGGATATGGAAATATGAATTAAGCCTTGACAGTCATTTTCCTTTATTCTGAGGTTAACAACTTTAGGACCTCATCCTGTAAGTTCGCTGGGTGCAGAACTACTGCTGAAATCAATAGGTTTTCTGCATGAAGGCTGCTTATAGGGTTGTGCCAATTAATATTGTAAACAAACTGCATGAATTAAAACTTCACTTATATGTATCACTGTGAGGGCAGCAAATGAAATAGCTGTAGACAAGTTGTATTCTCCATGAGTGTGTTTATGTATGTATTGCACATGCAATCAAAACTAAATTGAAAGCCTGGGATATGAATCCATTTTGAAAGTCTTCTATCCAGTCTCATTGTATTGAAGACACTTTAAATCTCACAATATCATGTTGTTCATACTGCTAAGCCAATAGTTTTGGGTTCACAGTAATTGCACACTACTTATTTAAAAATCTTCCCCAGCAGTATGTGCCTGTTACCAAAAGCGATGGAGCAGGTCCCAGTCATATGTCTGTTTCTAAACCTGGGCCTACAGCACATGACATACCATCCACTGTGGCCTCTGCTCTGTCACTTTGCAATGCGATTCTATGTAGTTTTACTTGAATAACATAAAATAACATATATAATGTTATTTATGTTATTTTCCACGTGAAGAACTCCTGTAAACCTTGCCGTTTTGAAACTCAGTGAGGCAGGCGTCTTAGACAAGCTGAAAAACAAATGGTGGTACGATAAAGGTGAATGTGGACCCAAGGACTCTGGAAGTAAGGTCAGTCGCTGCAGTTCGGGACCTACTGTTGTGTTCACAAAGCAGTAAAGGGAGTAATGGACAAAATGACATGGAAATACAATAAGTAGCACTAAAGACTCATAAAAAGATCAGCTAAAGAAAATGCTTCCCCAGCCCTCCCTCAAATAGCCATGTAGCCCACTTTAATTTAAAGAAGCACTATTACTCTTGCAGGTTTTCAAATGAGGTTGATGTAGAAAAGAAATTTGTGGTTTCCTTCCTTTGGAAATGTAAGTCATGTCACATCTTCCTGTATTTTTAAGGATGTTTGGATTGCTGCAAGGTGGGTTGTTTTTTATCTATGTGGGGAGAGCCTCTCTTCATTAACTGCTGTACAATTTATCCCTTTCTCTATTTGACATTTTTTCTTTGGGAGATGGCCTACCTGAATTGTTTGCTTATACTCTGTGAAGGTGTGAACACTCAGGCATTCAAATGAAGGGATTTCCTTTCTCCACAAAGGCCTGGCCTGGTTGTATAAGAGAAGGGCTCCAAAGAATAGGGGTGAAGCTAATATGAATTCTGGGGTAAAAGAATTCTGGGGTAACCCTCTCCTTCCCCCTTCTCCAGTGGCCAAACAGAAAAATTAAAGTGAAAATGAATTTTGTACTATATAGCAAGTGAAATTGGAAGAGGGAGTTTAAACCCACCAGGAGCTGTGCAGCCCCTGCTACAGCCAAAACATCACGTTCACTGTCACTGTACATGACAAGTTGGGAGACTTTCACCAAGCACTTACTCTGGGCTATAATTTCCCATCAGTAAAATCTTCCTTCTCCTTAATCACATGCATTATGGCAACAACTAACCTGATAGCAAGAAGAATGGTCATTGCATCCAAGGCTGTGAGCCCATGCTAAAACCAGCTAAGGGGAGAAAAATTATGCAGAACATCTCTAAGATTGAAGCCTATTTCAGCCATCAGCCACAACCTGGATTCATGTCTAGGTCTTCTATGCATCAGCATCAGTGTTATTCTCTACTGGCAGAGGCATCAAATAGTGCATCTTTAAATTAAATATTTCTCCAAGTATCATTTAATGTTCATCGGGAATTAAACTTCCATGCAATTTGCAAAAGGTTAACCGCCATCCATACTTTACCTTATAAGAAAGACATTTATAAATATCTCAGTGCAAGCAATAAAGTACATAAAGGTCCAATTCCAAATAAAGCCCTAGTCTTGAGAATTGTGCTGAAAAATTATGCACATCATTATTAAAACCTAAAATACCAGGCTTATTAAGATTTTTGCCCAAAACAATCTGAAATATATAATAGATATTTGTTACAGCAAACTCACCATAGAAACATATGTAAAATAACCCATCCTTGAATACTTCACTAAAAGCAATTAGTATTGTTTTCTAAATTATTAGAAATACTTAGAACTAACTTCTAATCATCAACTGATTAATCTTTAAATAATTTTATTGATAGAATTGTTTATGTAACAAAGCTTAATACTCTATTACCATGGTAAAAATAAATAAACAGCAGTGACTAATGTAGTAGGGAATATATTGTATGTTAATGAAAATGCGTTTTTGCTTTAATTAAGAGTTTAAGTGTCATATATTTTAAGTACATATTTAATTAGCTGAAAGCCAAGCTGGCTGAGTTTTTAGATTGATGCATATCAAAAGTGAACACTATCTGCTAATAAAATTATGTAGCGTCCCATCTGATGTAAATGGATTTTTGGATTAGAAAGCTTTTAAGCAACCATCAAATAAATCTAGGTTCATATTGCTGTTAACATTTTCATTAAACAGAGGTAGATATATCATTGTTTAAAGTTCCATGTAATGGTTGACAGCTGTTAGCAAGTGACTGATTACATCCTAAAGTATTGGTAACACACATGTAATGATTTCCATGTTTGCCAGGGAGAAATGGCATTTAATATATATTTTATAAATTTAGATAGGCCAATTTTTGTGAAGAAGTGTGTAAATGACTGTCAGTTAATTTCACTTAAACCTTTTCTATGTATGTTTTCAATGTGTAATGTGTAGCTGTTAAGCTCTCAGTATCTGACATCAGTGGTTAACTGTGCTGATTCTGTTTCCTCAGGACAAGACGAGTGCCTTGAGTCTCAGCAACGTTGCTGGAGTCTTCTACATTCTGGTTGGAGGCTTGGGCTTGGCCATGCTGGTGGCTTTGATAGAGTTCTGTTACAAGTCCAGGGCAGAGGCAAAGCGAATGAAGGTGGCAAAGAGTGCACAGACTTTTAATCCAACTTCCTCGCAGAATACCCAGAATTTAGCAACATATAGAGAAGGTTACAACGTATATGGAACCGAAAGTGTTAAAATTTAGGGGTAGGACTTAGGGCCTACTACAGTGAGTGGGTGATGCATCTTGTAATGCAGTGTCGTGACCTGTCTGTCCAGTGGTGGTAATGCTTGCTTCTCAACAGAGCTTTATATTTTGGAAAACTTCAGTGCAAAGTGGTTCCGTTTTTTTGGCTGCAGATGTACAGTATACTACTCTATGTTGCTAATAGACATCTGCATTGCAAAGGCTTTTTTTAATATACAAAGAATATCTTCTCTTTTAAAAACAGTTTGGTCTTTCTGACTCAGTTGGGACATTACAGCTATTTGAAATTTTAGATACTAAAGCAAAAATAGAGTCTTTCTGTAGAGAAAGCCATAGCTTGCTTGGGTTACTTGGTTAGCCTATTCTTCTGGGGGATTTTATTATTACTTAATTACTATTTACTAGCCCTATTTGTAGCTTTTAATAGGGATTACAATCAACATTGGGGCTAGGCAGCACCTTAGTGAGCCATAGTCAAAGCTTTAGGGAGAGCAAGCACTGTGATACAATTCTAAATGTGATTCATCTTTCCTCCTCACCTTACACCCTCCTCCCTTGATTAATAGAATTGGATGGTATTTGAGCATGCCATTTGTTGAGTAAGTCCTGCCTTAGTTCAACCTTTGTCCCACTGCAATAATTATAAATAATGCCAATGTTGTTAATGGAGTGTAGAGAGCTTCATCAGTTTTTAGCAGACTAAGACTACCTCTTTGTCTTGCTGAGGAGCAATACTTTTTAGATATAAATGTAGTGATTTCGGGGACTGCAGTGTTAATGTTGTTTGGCCTATTATGATATTGGAGTAGGTGTGTGCGGGTGTTTTACTAATATAATGAAAGAGCTGGTCTCTGCAGTGTGAACCTGGCTAACTTGAGATCAGTACTAAATCATTTTTAAATTACATGTAATAACAAATGGAACTTGTATTTATTATTATTTATTATTATTATTAGATAATCCCCAAAGTATACTAGATGCTTTCTAAATTAATCTGTAGGTAAAAATATTGCTTATTTGTTGATACTGTCTAGAACTCTCAGTTCCATGAGCAAACCAGATTAATCTAATTTTGACAAAATCTTCTAAGCCTGATTCTGCTGGACTCATAGACCCATGATGAGTATAGAATTCATATGGAGGGGAGTAAGAAGTAGATTTGGAATTGAAATTTTATTTTGCCACCTAGAAACCATTTAAAGGAAAGAACTCTGTAGATAAAATTATTATTTTTATTTATTATTTATATAGCGCTGGAGTGCAGGGCGCTGTACAGTAGGTGAAGTGTGCCAAACAAATAACAGTTCCCTGTTCCGAGGAGCTTACAGTCTAAAGGCACAGCCGGTACAATACAGAACAATGCAATACAGAACAAACACAGAATGAACAGAGAATGGTCTATGGTCATTATAGCTGGAACGCTTCAAGGAATAGGTGGGTTCTCTGGGATGTTTTCAGGAAGGTGAGGGAGGGGGCTTGGCGGACATTGACTGGGAAGCCATTCCAAGCATACAGTTTGTTTCTAGATTTCTTAGTGCTCCTGTTGATTGTGATCCTATGTACAAGCAGACATTCCTTGGCTATATTTTAATCATAACAATGACCTAGTTTCCCAGAAGATAAAAAAAAATGATTTAAGTACTGTCATTAGTCAGAATATGAGTCATGCACATAAATCCAAGATCAAACCCAACACAAATCTGAAAATTGATAATAATCTAGTCTAGATTTGAACATCTAGGTTACTTCAATGTGACAAAACAAGTGTGCCCAACATTAACAGCTGCTGCTAGATCAGAAGGCTAAGTAATAGATGGCCAAGGTGAGCCCAACTATTTAGGGTAATGTTCATTAACCCTATGACACCAGGCATTAGGATTTCCAGATGGCAACATCAAACACTGTAAAAGGCTCAACGCAGATTCCCAGAAGCAAAGGTTTTTTAAAAAATATTTTGCAATTATACAAAATGAAGATGAAAAACTTTAAACCCCTGTAGTTCCCAAGTGAGCTACCCAACACTTAGCATGTTTTAATGCTATTGCATGGAACAATGGTGCTCATGTCAAATAGTTAAGTGAAGACATAATAATAATAAATACATTGTGCTTTTAAATGGGTATAATGAAAATTTGTTGCAGAGAATTATTGGTGAAGTTATATACAACTAACTGTATTGTTATTACTTAACACAACAGTACATCATGCAGGAGTAATCACTCAGGTGCCATATTCCCAATCAAACTCACAAAGCAAAACGTAGTCTTAAAAAAATCCCAGCTCCCACCCAAACACTGATCTGGCCCAAAGACACTTAGGTTATGAAATATGGCAGGATAATGCAACAGGCAGTGTGACTACACCACCAGTAGAATTTATTTAAATCCTTGTTTTCAATTTCTCCCCTAAGCAAACAAAACTGGAATGAGAGCTCATCAAATGTTTTAGGAAGAAAGTTTTTCTTAATTGAAAATGCTTTTTCTTCCAAATATGTAAAGATTCCAAAAGTATTTTGATTTTTTAAGAAAATTTTTGCATCGTTTATTTCCATTTTTATTGAAAGTGTTATTGAAACAATATTATTTATTTTCACTAATGCTGAAGTCTGGGCTTCTAATAACTTTTGCTAATCTTTTCTATATTGATTTCAATACTGTTTAGATATTTAAAAATATTTTAAATGATCATAAAATGAAAAATTGGTATTTTTGTACCTATGAAAAATACTCTCATAGTTTCAATTTTTTTTAATTACTTATTCTACTCAGGATATTTAATATAACACTTTCCCGAGATTTTTTATCAAGTAAATATATATTTTAAACATTTCTGAAACAGAATATGTCTATATCTAGAAGACCACCGAGGCTAGGTAGAGCAATGAACTGTTCTCTAAAAAAATATTATTTCATCATTCAATTACACATCCCTAATGAGAGTGTCAATTAAGTGTTAGCAGCATACAGCCTATGACTATGATGACACACTTTTCCAAGGCTCCAATTCCCTCCCAAAGAGAGCCATAGAACACATGTTCACCATTCATTTCACAACCTCATCTGTGCTCATTTAACCAAAAGTAATATATTTAAATTGTGACTTTTCTAAATAATATTAATTATGGTGGTGGGAGGGAATTTTATACCACCTTAGATATGAGAGGGGAAGTCTAAATGTGTAAGGCTAGATTGTGTCTCTAGGACACAGCCATTGGTAAGAGACAATATGTTGTTGTTCCACTGCAATGCCAACACAAGAGAGTCACAGTTCCCTTGCTCTTTTGTGGTGTCTCCTATGGGCAGTAATTTTTTCCTGGCCTATACTAGCACCAGCACGTGAAGTCTTGCACCCTCCACACCTAAAGCTAAGGTAACCCAGTTACCCTTTTAGGGGATTAATGGGTGTGGAGTAATTCTTTCTACCCCTACATTCTTAATTTAGGCATAAAGTCATGTGAAGATCTAGTCCCATAGAATTTACATTTTACCCCTTTAGCTGTTTATTGGCATCTTATGTACATTGTTGTATTGTACTAACTCCTGAAAGCTGCGAATATGGCAATACAGATAGCTCCCTTGCGTTAAGGGTTAATGACTTCAAGAATTCATGGAGGAAGAGATGCAGCTCAAGCTCCGTGTAGTTGCCTTCCAAATAGAAATTGAGAGGGTGAGATAGGAAGGAAAGGAATATAATTTTAACTTTTTCCTTCCCATCGTCTCTTTCTTAGTGGGCTGACAACCTGTGAATGTCCTGTGGATCCTGATTCAAGTGCTTCTCTTGCTTCTCTCTTTCTCTCCCTCCAACTCCATACTGTTGGTTAATCTAATCACTTATTATACAAGTGGCCAAATGCTACAGCAGGAAGAGGCAACTTTTAGCAGCATCTTTATTGCATTGATTTTGCACTTTATATTTTCAGTGTCATGTTCAACTTAGAAAATGAGGTGCACAGTTTACCTTTAATATTTTTGGAAAGGAAATACCCATCTCCCAGATACTACAGCAATCAGAGCAGCATAGGACTCTGAATGGAATAAAGTATCCACTCTATATTAAAGGTCCCGCGTTGCAAGATGCTGGATGGAACCAATTATGTCAATGAGAGTAGGGTTCTCTCAGCTGACACAACACCTTTTCGGGTCAGCACTTTAAATCAGGGATCGGGAACCTTTTTTGGCTCAAGGACTGCTGATCCACAGGAAAATCAGTTGGGGGCCACACACCACACAAGTGAGAAGCAAAACCAAAAAACCCGCACTGATGTGGCCCCCAATTGAGAAGGAGAAAGACACTTCCCACGTTTCCCTCCCACACCAGAGTCTGGTAGATTTTGCACACTCCAGCCCCATAGTGAGGCTGCAAGGGGGCTGGTGCACCAACACAGACTCCCAAATTCTGGGGGGGCTCTGAGCCTCGGAGACTGGATCCAGGCAAGCTGGGGGCTGAATTTGTCCCCCGGGCCTCAGGTAATCCCCCCCCCCCCTTTTAAAGGGAGATTTTCAGACACACACTCTTAGGATTTAACTTAACTGCAGTCTTTGTACTTGCTTGGTGGTTTCCTCATGATGATAAACAAATGTCTTCTACCATACAGATTTTGTTAGCTATTGCTGTTGTTTCCCATGAGGAGTTGTTGATCCATCTTTTCAGCAGCTTCATTCTTCCATTACATCTGGGAAAAGTGTTCATCATCCCCAAGTGTTTTCTGGCCTAAGAACCTACTAGATTCTGTTTGTCACCCTTCCTGTTCAGGATGTATGTGAGATGGCTAGAAAAAACAGTGAGATGGAGTGGGCCACAAATGCATTGGTACCTTGTAAAATATTAAGGTGGCCCTTACATCTTCTTTACCCCTGGATTGTTCAGTGTCTCTGTGTCCCTAGTACACAACCATGGAAGAGTCATAGATAGGAAAACTGGCTGAAGTTCAATTAAAAAAAAAGATGAAGATGATTCTGGTGGATGGGAGATGTTTCTGGAAGACTTGTCAAGAATTATGCCAGCTCACTCTTTTTGAGAAATATGTACTCTTTCAATGAGATTTCCAATCTTGGACTTATTTGGACCTCATCTGCTCCAAAAATCCCAGATATCATCAGTAGAAAGTCATGAAGAAAAAAAGTGTTATTTTTCTTCCAGTTGACCTAGAGAATGTTTTATTTTAGACCAGACAATCCCATTTCTCCATGTTTTGTCACTTCCAGAATGAATTACTGTAATATACTCTGCTTGGGCCTACTCTAAAGCATCTCCTAGAAGCTTCCACTTGCGCACAAATTATACCACCTTGCATTATAGTAGTGCACTGCTTCTTATTTGCTTCTTGGTGCAATTCAAGTTGTTGATATTCCATAAACCTATGTATGAGCTAGTGTCCCATGTATCTAAGAGACCATTTCTCTCTGTTTATACTACAGTTGTCTTAGACCAAGGTGTTTTTGCTCACAGTCCCTGGATCTGAAAGCTGTGAAACTGGAGCTACTATTCTTTCAGAAGCGGGTGTTGGACACTGACTGATTGCCCTAATTGCTTCACCACAGCGCACATTTTTGGTCTGAAGGGAATGGTCAAAAGCTTTTATGTTTGCTGAGATCCATTCCTCCTGAGTTAGGTTATTATGAGGGTGGTACATTATCTAGCTTTCTTGGGGTAGTTGACTGGACATGTTCCTTTTACTTCTATGCTTTTTAAGGTGAAACTGTAACAGTTGTTCATGTGGAGATTTTCTTTTGATGCAGCCAACTGATGGCAGCATGATGTTAAATTACCCTAGTATAACTGCACCCAGAGGCAATGTATACTGGTTTTTAATCTCTTTCACAAACACAGGCTGAGAACTTGCTGTCTCAGGCAGAAAGAGAAGCTGGGCTAGGTGGAACAAACCTCATATCAGCAATGATAGCAAATAAAATTCAGGAAAATACCACAGTTCATTTCCCTTTTTGTATAAATCTGTTTAGCCTTTTTTTTCTAATGTGAGTATTCTCCTTCTGTTCCTCTCATTTCCCAGCATGTGTCTGTTTTTAATCTCTGCCTACACACGTCATGGGTTACTTGTCCATGTTATAGATAAAGCTGGTCAAAAATCAGAATTTCCATCTCATGGGAAATTCCGACATTTCAAAACTTGTTTAGAACTGTTGAAGTCTGGGTGTCTCATGCCCAGGGCCAGCCTTAGGGATAGTCCATCTTGGCGCCAGCTCAGCGGCCCGGCGTAGAAGCACAGAAGTGTGCACTGCCAGTGTAGAGTCAGAAACTGCTCCCGAAGGGCAGTGGAACACTGGTGGGGAAGCACCCCATTTTCTCCCTGCTTCCTCCCAGCCGTGGCACATGGGGAGGGGGGAGCAATGATGCACTGATACTGCTCCCCACCCAATGTTCCTCCACGTCCCTAGGATCACTTTCCCTGCCTGGGCTATACTGTGAGGTGAGCCTCAGGAGCTGCTGCTCTCCTATTTGCCCCTTACACAGCCGCAGTGGGGTAAGGCAGCTGCTTCTTACCAGCCGCCCATTCCACTTACATTTCTTTAGGCTTGAACAGTGGATTAAATTTTCAAAATGAGAGTTTCCAGGTTTATAAAGTAATTTATGAGCCATTCTTATTATTTATAATGTTTAGTTATTTAATGCTAAGCAGAGTATAAGGCCTAATCCTTTATACACATATGTAATTTTAGTCATGTAATTAAGTGCCTGTCAGACCCTGGCTATACAGAGCATTATTTCTGGAATTGCAGCAGAATATCAGTAAAGTGTGAAGCATTTTAGATTAAGGTATCCCCCTGTTCTAATTTATTCAGCAAATTGGAATTTTATACTTTGTCCATAGAATTTGCCTTTCACAAAATTTTACCAGCAGAATCTTTAGTCTGATTTGTATTTTCTTTCCCCAATGTTGTTAAATGCACTTTATATATCCATACAGCATGAAAAAATGCAGATGTCTAAAACTTGATATTTTGGTGTTTGTTGTGTCATGGCTATTAAGGAATAGAAATATTGTAACACTTCTTCTCTTTCCTTTTTCCTGGATCCTAGCTGACCTTTTCTGAAGCCATAAGAAATAAAGCCAGATTATCCATCACAGGGAGTGTAGGAGAAAACGGCCGTGTATTAACTCCCGACTGCCCGAAGGCCGTACACACTGGAACTGCAATTAGACAAAGTTCAGGATTGGCTGTAATTGCATCGGACCTACCATAAAAACCAAAAAAACAAATGAGTGCCTTAATTAACTGTGTTGGTGACTGATGGGAACACAGCACAGACTATAACGACATGGGAGTGTCATTGATGAACTAATATTTGGGCTGAGAATTGGGAAGTACGTCCAAATGCGCAAGATATCATCAGCAACAAAGTGTGCATGAGCTCAGCTCGGAAACCCAAACTCAGATTTTATATCAGGAAAATTCATAATTTAGTTTTGTTGGTGGGAGGAGGGCTGGGATGGGTATATTAACAGCAACAAATTTCACTTGAGTGGACTTAAAACTAATAAGACTTGCCAATTAGCGCATTAAACTGTGAAGAACATGGTCAGAAAGGACAACGTTTTGCTCTTTATCTTGGCAAAGTGGGGAAAATAGCTATAGAAATCAATGAACATGATAACCTGTGTCTCCAGAACATCAATATATACAATGGAAGAATATCCAGCTGTGGAAATGAATCACTAAACTGTGATAAGAAAATAATAAATATGTAAATCCTGTGAAAAAAAATAAAGGAATTATTTACATTTTCTTTGAAAAAAAAGAGGAATATTGAAACATGCTTGCTTTTTAACTGATGTAAATTCGGTAGAGGACAACACAATTCTTTTTTCTAACCATCTTAGGGAACAATTCATTGCAATAATTGATATAAAATGCCATCACTGTAACAAAATTCAGAGACTTCTTTTTATAAAAGTTATTGGTCATCCTCTTGTTTGCTGTTACCTTCATACTGTTACATCATTCTGTGTTCCACAGATTTGCATCTGTCTAACTACAAGAAAAACAAAAAAAATGTTTAGAGTACATCGTCAGTCTGCAGTGTAGAATCAAAAGAGACTACGGGTCACTCATGTTACAAATATTATTTATAATCTTGTTCTGTGTAAAATACTGTGGTTTTTGTACCCACCAAAAAGAATAAAACAACAAATGTTCTTATAATATTGACCGAGGTTGAGTTGTTCTCTGATCATTGGGGATGACTACACTATGATTCCTGCTCTGAAATTCAGGACCAGACATGGTACAATCTGGACTTTTTTACTTGCATATTTGTGAGGGGCTTGAGATTCTGGGAAGCTGTGGAGTTAAAACCATGGTAGGAGCACTCTGCTAGAGTAGATGGTCAAAACTGTTAGAACTGAAACCCTGGTCCCTGTCCCACAGATTGGAACCCTAAACATGTTTAACTGAAAATCCTAAATTGGATGTTCTTCAAACAATACAAGATAAAATAAACCTCTCTGTCACTAAAACTCTGTCATTGAAAGCTCATCAGGCAACAATGCAGTGAAAGCAAAAGTCTGGCCTGCCCATGAGATCAGTCTTCTTCCCTAGTACTAGTGAAAGAAACTTAGCCTAACTGATTAAATCCAGTGGAAAGAGTCCCAATGACTGCTCTGGACATTGGATCAGTCCGTACATGAAAAGCAATTTCACTGAGATAAGTGAAGCAACCATATAAAGATATATTGTCATTAGATGACATAGACACAGATGATAATGTATGTTTATTTCTGTTTCTTTTAGTCGCACCTAGGCTATGTCTACACTGCAGGCTTTTGCTGGCAGCAAGTATGCTAATGAAGCGCTCATTAGCATTTGATGCACTGTCATTTGCATATTCTCTGCTGATGCTTTTTGTGCAAGAGGTTTTTGCTCAAAAACAAGCAGTGTAGACAGGTCCATTTTGCGCAAAACCCCCGTTTTGCACAAGATCCTTATGCCTCAAAAAAAGGAAGTATAAGGCAAAAGCCTGCAGTGTAGACATAGCCCTGTGTCTGACATACAGATATCCAAGAATTTAGGTATAAAATATTAGTGCATACTTTGAAGATTTTTGCTTTGAGCTCCACTTCTGAGCCTCTGTCCATCTTTAAGATGGAGATAATACCACCTAGGGTCTAAATAATGAGTGGAAAACCTGTTGAGATCCTTGGGAAAAGGCACCATACCAATGCCAAATATTGCTGTGCTTGTACTTATTTTATGTAGAGTTGACCTGAGAAAACAAGAACTTTCAGTATTTTAAAAGAGCTTTTCTTGCTCTTTGAGCAGACAGGAGATTGTGTGAACAGAGAGTGTTGTGAGAGACCTATTGTGAAAGTTGCTGTTTATTTCATTCAAAAGATCATATTTGTTTACATATTTGCTCTAACCATGCTTGGTCCAGAACTAATATCTCTTTGGAGAATGTCCTCTGGTTTTCCTCCTCACTGTTATTCCAAAGTCACTTAGTAAATCTAGGTCCTTCCAATTATATTGTTCCACTACTTATTCCACTCAAGGGCAGTACCCAGCCTTCAGAAGAGATTTAAGACCAATTTTAAGGATGCAATTAAGGCCAAACCAGCATATTTGTACAGGAATTACATATCTGAAAGGGAAGTTTAGCCTCTCAAAACAATTATTTTAAATGAAGATTATATTTGAAAGGCACAGTATCTATTCAGTACCTTAAAAAAAAAGAAGAAAAAAAAAAGCTAATTTTGTTCCTAATAAATTTGCATTTGAAATTGTATCCTAAATGGATACCCTCAAAAATGTTCATTTTTTGCAGTATCTTCATTTGAGATTTTTATTTCCAACCCTGAAGAAGACCAGACAGCTAAAGACTGTCAGCCAGACAGCAGAACCACGACTGCATTCAGCACATTTGAGGAGAGCCAAGGGGAAAGGGAGCTCAAACACATGAAGGGCATGTCTACACAGCACCCTAAACTCAAAATAAGATACACAATTTGCGTTATGCAAATTGTGTATCTTATTTCGATTGTATTTCAAAATAAGTTCTTTCAAAATTTGGCACATCTACCCAGTGCCAGATTTCGAAATGATGTGCTATTTTGAGACATCCCTTAACCCTCATGGAATGAGGGTTACAGGGATGCCGAAATAGCATGCCCATTATTTTGAAAAATATTTTCAAATAATGGATGTGTTGAAAAGATGTGGGATACCTATTTCAGGATACCTCTGGTACCCTAAAATAGCCCTGCTATCTAGACATACCCTAGCTGATCTCCCAGTCCTTGGCTGGCTGGGACTGTTGTCTGCCTCTGGCTACCCTTTGCATTGTGCTTAGCTGAGTCTGCAGAGCTGGTCTATTAATTTTTTGGAGTGTGGTTACAGTTGTGACAGAGTGTGGTCACAGAAAACCCTTTAGGGGTGCTTCCTGGAACGCTGACAAAGCCACTGGCACTCGCCTTCCTGCTCTCTGGGGATTCTCACCACTCAGTTCTGCTGGGCGAGCTCCCTGGTGTCCCCCAGCCAAGGCACCGAGCTGAGATCACTGTTGGCTCTCTTCCCCACCCTCAAGAAGCAGTACAGACACTGAATCTCTTCAGGTCCAAGGAAAATGCAGTTTTGGGCCCAGTGTCCTGAGATACCACTCCCCAAATGTGATCAGAACCCCAAATTAATTATGTCGGTAAGCCCCCTTTAACAATGAAAGGGAAAATGCTCACACTGATTGTTCCCCCAGGTAATAATCTTTACAATGGGCTTGATAGAAAATAAAAGTGATTTTATTAAGTACAAGCAGTAGGATTTAAATGGTAATAAGTAAGAACAGGCCAAGCAAAGTAGGTTACAAACTCAGAAAAAAACCGCTTAGCTAATTCTAACACTGAAACCTCAGTACAAACTTATTTCAAACTGATTACAAACTCACCCTAAAACTGTTTCTTTTCCAGCTAAGCCTTCAAAACAGGGAAATCTCCTTTTCCCTGGGCTCTTTAGTTCATTCCCCTGGGTGTACCATGCCATCCAGTGCAAAGACAAAGACCTGCTAATTTTCTATTGTTTTAAAGATTCCTACCTTTGCATGGGAAGTTACCTGGCCAGTTCCTACCAGTTAGTGAGGTCATGTAACATTCTAAGACCAATCACTGCTAAGACTTAAGGACAAAAGCTGTTTACATATGATTGCCCAAATATTGAAGCATCTCAGCATTGGAAACACCCTTGATGGCTTTCAATTAAAATGATAAAGCATTCTGTACTTCATATATCTAACTTTACGCATAAGAATTATACATACACCAAAATAAGATAAACAGATCCAGCAGATTATGACATCAAGATAGATAGGCTACCTGAAGCAATTTGTCCAAAGCATCTTTGAGTTATGCATATTTGTGTCCATAGCCCATTTCATAAAACATGGGGGTGCACCGTCACAAGTCTGAAAAATGAGATTGTAAAAATGGCATTGAGGGAGTTGAGTTTTCTTCCTCTCAATGATTTCAATATGAAATGTGCTCTGGATGCAACTATTGCTGAGCATAGCTTCCCAGGATTTGTGGACGCTATTTCATGTTTTCATAGAATGTAAGGCCACAAGGATCCTCTAGTTCCTCTAATCTGACCTCTTGTAAAACACCTATCCCAAGACATGTTAACAAGCAAATGGAATGTGAGAGATGCAGATGGATGGGCTGAGATTGTTTTGATGATGAACTGGATGCTTGGATACTGATAAATTCTCTCCTGTCTATGTAGTTTATGTATCCACACACGCACCTCCCAGTGCTCCCATAGAATTTCACCTTGTTACTCCAGTCTTGAGCCTAATACCTTGTAGTTGACTAAAACCTATCTTCCACAAAGGCATCCAGTTTTGCTTTAAAGACTTCAAGGAATGGAAGAACTCCACCCCATCCCCACCATCTCTTGGTGGTTAGTTCCACTTACTAGTCACCTTTGCTGTTAGCAATATAAACCTTATTTCTAATTTGAATTTGAATTTGTCTGTCTTTAACTTGCAGCCATTGGTACTTGGTCTGCTTTTCTCTGCTTCTCAGGAGTCATGGTAACTGACATAAGACAAGCCATGTTTAACATATCAACTGATCAGCTAATAAGAATGTTTACTATAAAGT